TCTGTGATTGTCCCGGACGATAAGATCTATCAATCTAACCTTAATTACTTTCATAATCACCTGATCATTTTATGCATGATTGGTACAAATCGTCTAGAATCATCCTATACAATTAGTGTAAATTTGAGATTTTTAAAATCTTGCCTAAATGAATTTGGCGGTTGGTTTTTATGATTTAAGCATATCGTCCAGGACGATGGGAGTATTGTCCAGGATGATTTGCTTAATCAGGTTTACATGACCCAGATGCCTTAATTAAGATTTTTATTTTTAACTGATCGTCTAGTATGATTTTAAATCATTTTATATGATATGATCAAAATTAGAAAAACTCTAACTTACCAAATTTCCCCTCTTGAGTGTGTGTGTGCAAGGCTACTTAGTTTTAGGATTCATCATATTATTGACTCAAGAAAAGATAAAATATACATTAGAATAGAAATTACAGTATACATGATCTTAAGCTGATTAACGTTTCAAGTGAACTTATGGACATAGAAGGTTAATGAGCTGGTCAAATATAATAGATATGCAAGAATAGTAGTAGTCAAGAAACAATAATGTTTGTTATCATCAAAATCACATTACTTGGGTCCAAATTTGCAACAATCTCCCCCTTTTTTATGATGTCAAACATTATTATTAAAAAATTTCAAAGCAAGGAAAATTTTTATTTTGTTTGTTTTTTTTAAAAGAGGTTTTTTTAAAAAGAAACATAAAAAAAACAATACAAAAATAGAATAAAAGAAATTTCACTAAACCATAAGTAATAAACTAAGAAGACAATATACTACTCCCCCTTTTGACATCACAAAAGGAGGAAGAAAGAAAAAATACAAAAAATAGAAGAAGGTACAAAAATAAAGACCAGTATAAACACAAAAACATAACTAATAGTCAAAGGGACTCTGTTCAGAAGGAGGAGGTGGTGGTGGTGGATAGAATGGGTGGAGAGAGGAGAACTTCTTGCAAAGCTAGTCCATGTATTGGCTGTGCTACTGCTGCTGCTATATTAGGTAATCATCAAAATAAGCTACATATTAATGTTGTTTTGCTATGAACTCCTCAAAGTGAGCCATGTCCTAAGTATGTTGTTGTTGCTGCTCGTGACATAACACTCAAATCTATCTTCCCACTGATTAAAATGCTGTACCAGCTGATCGAGCTATGATTATTGGTGGAGAGGAATAGGTTCAGGAATAGCTTCTTCCTCTAGTCCCACAAACTCCTCATGCTCTGAATGGAGATGAGTGTTGTGTGTTAAGAAAATTGCTATTTGCATGTTTTTCATTCTTGTAACTTGTATAGTTTTGATGATTCAAAATATTATTGTTTTATGTGTTGTTATCTCCTAACACTTTTTGAAAGATTTGTTTTTTCTCTTGTGTGAACTAACATTTTAGGAAAAATCGAACTACATACTATGAAGACTTCAAAATCAAATTGGGCATAAGATTCTTTGTGAATTGAAGCTTATATCTTTCATTATATTGAGTTTGAGAGGGAGTGATTGTAATTGTGTAAATAAACACACACACAGTTAAGAAGATCTTTAAAAATTATACTAATTGCACGGGACAAACACAGTTCGTACGCGACGATCAAGTCAGTTATCTCCTCAGAAGAGCAATGGAACGAACAAGAAGCAAAGAAACTTTTTCTAAGTCCTGATCATCCGAAAAGAATTTCCTATTCATCCCAGTACAAAATGGGCTCTAGAAAATTTTCGTTCAGACGAAATTCATATTCGTGCTAGAACGAAATGCTCTATGGAAATTTTTTGTCTAGATGAACTCTAATTTGTCCCAGGATGAAATGGCCTATGGAAAATTTTTGTTCAGACAAAATTCATATTCGTGCCAGGATTAAATGTCCTCTGTAAAAATTTCTTCCGAACGAACTCATATTCGTCTCAGGACAAAGCGCACCGACTCTTAAAAATTTGGCAACTTCCTACAGTTTTCGGAACCGACCTATGGTATAACCGTTCATACCTGACGAACCTTGTTCATACGGGACGATTAACGTGTATGAAGTCAGTTCGTACCAATATACATTGGGTTCATTTCCATCTGAATTAAGTAACATCGTCCAGGACGATCCACGATCTTACGGGACGATCCACTGCTGATAGACTTGAATTTTAGCAATTTTTTGACGTTTTTGTGTATTTCCTATATAAAATCCAATATAAACTGTCACTTAATCTTTTTGCCTACTGATCTTTGTGCCTACTGAAGGAAAAATCAAGGAGAGAGTGTGAGAGAGTGTTTGAAGGAGGATTTTTACTACTGGAGTGTGAAGGTTTCACTTGGTACTCAAAGGTAAGAGTTTCAACTTGTGATTTTTGATTACTTCATTCTTTTCTCTCTTCCTTCTAAATTTCTTGTGAAGAAGATCTGTCAAGGAGAACTAGTTCTCTACCGACACTTGGAGAGTGTGAACAGACGAAGGGTTCTATGCCCTCACTAGAAGAGTGTGAAAGGACGAAGGGTCCTCTGTCCACACTAGGAGAGTGTGAAAGAACGAAGGGTTCTCTGCCCCCACTAGGAGAGTGTGAAAGGACGAAGGGTCATCTGCCCACACTAGGAGAGTGTGAAAGAACGAAGGGTTCTCTGCCCCTACTAGGAGAGTGTGAAAGGACGAAGGGTTCTCTGCCTACACCGGGAGAGTGTGAAAGGACGGACGTTTCTCTGCCAACACTGAGAAGAGTGTAAAAGGACGATGATTCTCTATCGCACTGGGCAGTGGTGGAAGAGAGTTTTGTAAAGGCTTCTTCGCCTTGCTGTGGGTGCAGAAGGAGAGTCACTAGTGGTATTAGTTTAATACTCGGAGGGTGCATTTGGGGAGTGAATGTAGGTCGTGTTTGACCGAACCACTATAAATCTCGCGTCTTTTATTTTTCTGCTACTTTTATTTTTGTTTTATTGTTTTTAACTTGTGGTTGAAAAATCTTTTTCTTAAAATTCACTAAAGTTGAATTTCTAGGTTTTAAAGTTTAAAAGAGGGTAAAATTTTTAATTACCAATTCACCCCCCTCTTGGTTAGCCGCTGGGACATAAGCTTAGGTTTAACAAGCTAATTCATATTGAACAAGTTTCAACAAATGATATCAGAGCTTTGTTTTAAAATCATAAGGTTAGACTACTTTTTGATTAATGTAGATGGCTATATTTGGAAACTAAAATACACCTAAGGGTTACTCTATAACTAGACCTCCATTGATCGACAATATTCATTTTTATTTTTGGAAAGCACGCATGTTTATATTTTTACAGTCACTTGATTATCGAATGTGGATCTTAGTTCAAGAAGGGTATACAAAATTAACTAGACTAGTTGACGGAGTTAGAGTTGAAACAACTTTTGTGGACTGGATAGTAGAATAATGTGACTTAGCAGAACTAGACGCCAAATGATTGAATAGTTTCTTTTGTGCACTTAAATCAGAAGATTACATGCGGGTTTCTACTTGCAAGAGTGGAAAGGATATATGGGGTAGACTTTGTATAACGTATGAGGGAACTAATGAGGTTAAGCAATCTAGACTTAATATCTTGTTACATGATTATGAACTATTTCGCATGAAACCTATTGAATTCATTTCTGATATGTACACAAGATTCACACAAATAGTCACCTCTTTACATGCATTGAATAGGGAACTAACAAATGCTGAAATGGTTAATAAGATTCTTCGTTATTTGCCTACTGCTTATGATGCTAAAATTACTTCAATTACAGAGTCTAAAAATCTAAACATTTACTCTATTGACAATCTTTTTGATTCACTAATTGCTTACGAGCAAGGAGTTAGCCAAAGAAAGATTGATGCAGGTTAGGGGTGCAAACGAGTCGAGTCGAGCTCGAGCTCAAGGTTGTTCGAGCCTAGCTCGTTAGTTATGCATGCGGCTCGAGCTCGAGCTCGAGCTCGACTCGAGTCAAGAACTCGAGCTCGAGCTTGACTCGTGTGTCCGAAAACAGTCTCGTTTTAGGCTCGTTAGCTCTAGCTCGAATACTGAGCTCGAGCTCGACTCGATTATAAGCTCGATTACAAGCTCGAATTAATTTTTTTTATGAATTTTTCACATTAAAAAATGATGCTTTTAACATAATTTTCACCATTAAAAAGCACATTATAAGTTACTTAAAAAAACATGATGTCATTAAGATAAAATCTAATATAAAACAATAAAAAATTTTACATTTTCTTGACAATAGCAAACCACAATATAAATCCATAAATGTTTGCTTGGTTACAAATTTCTCAAACATAAACATAATAAAATGAAAGATCTGAAATAGTCAATACGGTAGGATCAAATTACCAAAATCCCAAAACATAATCATATATAATGTCTCAAACAGTCCTTAAAAATACATTATGACCAAAATGACATGTTTTTCATATCTTCTTCATCTTCAAGACTTCATCTAAATGCAAAACTGCAATTAGAACGAAGACCATTATAAAACTTACTACGGAATTAAAACTAAAGCATTAGTTGAGAGAAGGTATATTGAAAGAAATAACAATTCTCAGTGAAAAAAACAAAACACAGAGCATTACGGTTAGCTATTCATCATAACTACAAAATTACAGTGAATTGTCATATTTAAACAGCAGAGGCATTGATCCTACTACTCAAACTGGATCCAAATATTTTTTGTGGATTTTTTTTGGGTAATGTGGCTTATAGATTGTTCCTTTGGCAAGTGCAGCTTGTAGATACAACGAAGAGAAGTCCAAGGTCCATACAGAGAATAGATACAATGAAAAATAAGGTACATCCTAAATCAATGACCGAAAAACAAGGGAATGACAAAATCAAGAATAAGCAAACAAATCTTATTTAACTCATTATCAACTATCAACAGTAGCAAGAATAGTAAATTGAATAAATATTTATTTTTCTTGGTTAAAATAAGCAAAAAAATTCCGGTTAAAGTAACCATTTAACATTTACCAAAAATTTACCTTGATAATAATCTTCAAGTACATGGTATCGGTATCTCAATTTCATCGTCGTCCTCCTCTTCCTATAAACAATTGTAAAGTTTATCAGTTATAAAATAAACATTCAACGAATTACTAAAAACATTAAAAATAAATACCTTCATTCTTCTCTTCAAACCATACTAAGCACGTACCCAATTCGACCCACATATCAAAGCCTGAACCGTTTCAATTCCCAATTTTGAACGATATGTATCAACCACTCGCTCACTTGCTGAGAATGTAGATTCAGAAGCTACCATGTTGATAGGAATTGCTAAAATCTCCACAGCCAATCTTGATAATACAAGGTATTTTGCTTGGTTGCTTTTCCACCACCTAATGACATCAAAAGTCTTACCGGGAGGACAAATCTCTAAGCCATCTTCAAGATAATTATCCAAATCTGATTTAGCAGGTTTCTTGCTTGTTTTTTCGGATACAAATGCTGTGAAATCAAGCCATCCACTATACTTATTTGATCCACCTTCATGAGAAGTACTTAAAGAATGACTTCCTCCTTGTGTAGACCCCTTTCTTAATCTAAATGTTTCACAAGCTCCTTTAGCTTCATCTTCAAAGTTTCTTACATACTCTTCAAATTATTCGTATAACAGAGTACGAACATATGCAATATTTTGGCCACTTTGATCACTATAGATCATTGGATATGCAAACTCTATCACTAGAAATTTCATTCTAGGATCCATAATAGCACCAAACGCCATGAGCAGATTACATTCTCCCCAGTATTTGTCAAATTTTTCTTTCATTTTCATAGTCATGTGCCTTACAAAATCATCAGAAGAAATAGAGCTATCATCTAATACCTTCTTGATGGTACAAATATGGGACAAAAATAAATTTGAAGTTGGATATTCAGTGCCAGAAATTATATTAGTTGCTTCGTTAAAATAACCAAGCACATCACAAACCTTCTCTATTTTAGTCCACTCATCTTCCATTGGACTGTTGTGATAAGTAACTTCCCTCTCACTATACGAAGTGAATGCCTCCCTCAATTGAAGTGCCACAGTAAGCATATTATAAGTTGAGTTCCATCTTGTCGGACAATCCATAATCAATTTTCTAGTGGGTAAATGCAACTGATGTACAACATCAGCAAATCGAAGTAATCTGCCTTCAGAAGCATTCAAGAAACTGACTGTATCTCGAATTTTTTCCACCACAAACTCAATGCTTTTAATACCATCTTTCACCATAAATTCAAGATGTGAGCACAACAGCGAACATGAAATATTTTCCCACCAAAAAATAATTGTTTCCTTACACGAAAGTTATCCTTTAAGAGTTTGATTGCACGATCATTATTAGATGCATTATCAACTGAAATTGTGAAGACTTTGTTCTCTAAATCCCATTCATTGAGTGACTTGTAAAAAGTGTCAACTATTTCTGTTGCAGTGTGAGGAGGAGACAAGTGAAGAAAGCTGAGTACACGCTTTTGTAACTTCCAATTTGAATCTACAAAATGACCAGTGACTACCATATAAGAAATTCTTTGGTTATTCGACTTCCAAATGTCTGTTGTAAAACTGATTCTGTGAGTTGTCTGCTGTAGAATTAATCTCCTTAGGTTGAAAATGAAGCACTTTTTGGTTTTTGATGAAACGAATTCTAGCTGCACAACGATCTAGATGACGTCTAAATTGTGTAGTCGATCCTGTATTTCCTACGGCGAGGGACCTCTTACAATGAATGCATTCTCCTTTCTTCTGACCATTAGCAAGTTTCACTTCCTTAAACTCATCCCAAACTGATGATGTCTTCTTTCCTTTTTTTATTGTAATAGGATTAACATCTTCTTCCTGCTCACATATGCCTACAACATCTCCTTCTACAGCCTTATTCTCTTCCACTACATCATCATTTTCATTCAACCCAATATTTTCTTGTACACTTCCAGATGGTACTTTATCTACAGTCTCCAAAATTATCTCCTCACTAATGTTATCTTCAACAGTTGGTTCATGTGACATCTAGAAAGACAAAATTTGAATAGCACATAATAAAGAACCCTAAATTAACATAAAAAATATATATTGATATAACCATAGTTACCAAACAGTAGAAAATTAAAAATTAACTAGCAATTTCAAAAATGACTGAAGTTTGATTAGCATGCAAAAAAGAGCAAAAAACTAAATAATAAAGTTTCTGAGCATTAATAAAGATTCACTACTTTCTTTCTCAAATACATTTTAAGGAGGTAAGAACAAAATCGTAAGGAGATAAGCCAATTTTTCTAATCTCTTAATTTATTAGTACAAACTGAAGGATGCTCTCTTAAGAAGATGCAAAAACTGAGAGGCTAAAACTGAAGATGCTCCAACAAAAATAAGTAATAAAAGGAATAAATCGGAGAGGCTAAAACTGAAGGAAAAATTTCAATAAAATATACCTAAGAAGAAGATCCAACAAAAATAAGTGATGTTTTACCTTGAGCACGAGAGCAAGCTCTCTTAAATCCAAATCCTTAAATGCTATACTGCTTGAACAACAGAAAAAATTCAAATAAAAATAAAAAAACAGAGAAAAAGAAGAAGAAGAATCAAAATCCAAACCAAATCTTAGAAGTCTCTCTCTACTAACCGTTTGAACCCAGCTTGAGCACCGGTAGAACAGCAAGAAAGACAAGGAAGAAGAAAAAAGCCCTAGCTCTCGAACAGGAGACGCCGCCCAGTCGCACAAGCGAAAAGAAATATTAAACCAGCTTTCAAACAGAGGTTTATTACTTGTTGATTCATTGATTCCGATTTCCCGTCCCACACCCAGTTCAGGCTTGGACGGGTCCCGCCTCCGCTGCTCCACAATTTGCAAGTGCGAAAAAAATTTTGGAATCTGCCCGCCCATTTTAATCGAGCCGACTCGATGATCAAACGAGCCGAACGAAGCTTGGATCGAACTCGAGCTCGATAATACACCGAGCTCAAAATTTTGCTCGAACTCGAGCTCGATACTCGATAAGCTTAACTCGCAAGCTCGTTAACGAGTCGAGCAAAAGTCAGCTCATAAGTCGGCTTGACTCGTTTGCACCCCTAATGCACGTGAACCACGAAAGGAGAAGAATATAGCACTGAAAGTGGAGGAGTCTGAGAGTGAACACTCACAACCTGAGGATGAAGATGACATTGCATTGATGACTAGACAATTCAGAAGCTTTTTGAAGAGGAAGCAGAGGAGATGCCAGCAATAGAATAGAGGTAAATTTAATAGAAATGCCAAGGTTTCAAATGATGTGATTTGCTATGAGTGCAGGAAACCTGGACATATTAAGACAGATTTCCTGAAACTTAAAGCCACTCCTAGCAAGGAGAAGGTAGAAGAGAAATCATTTGTGAAGAAGGTCAAGAAGAAATTCCAAAGAGCTTTTTGGGCGGACTCAACTTCAGACGCATCAGAGACAAAAAAAGGAAGAGGAAGTCACTAATCTGTGCTTAATGGCCAATAGTCTTGATCAATCAAATCAAGAAGAGGTAAGTGACTTAAGTTATGTTGAACTTTTTGAAGTTTCTAAACATATGCATGATGCATATAGAAAAATGAAGAAAATGCATGCTAGTCTAAGTTTAGAATTTGAAGAACTACAAAAGAATCATGAAATCTTTAGAAAAGATCATGCTTTAATTGATGAAAATCATATGAAATTACTTGATGAGTTTGATAACTTGAATAAAAATCATGAAAATTTAAAATCATCCTATGGAGAACTTGAAAAAGATTTTAAAAATTTTAAGGATGAATCAGAGAGTAAGATTTATAGATCAAATTATACAAATCAAATTTTGAAAGATATGAATTTATTTTTCAAATTAACGATAAAAGCTCTCGAGGATAATAGGATACCCCCTAAACTTGAAGATTTCACTAATCCTATTTTGTATCCTAAATTTATGCAATTCCTAAATAGACAAATGAATAGTAGTAGACTTAGGAATCCTTTTCCAAAAGTCAAATATAACAATTATGGATTGATTGGACACATAGCTCGCACCTGTACTTTAAAGAAGAAAACTTATTTGGTGTGGAAACCTAAGATGTATAAACCTAGATATATCATACATGCATCTCTTTATAAATTGTCAAAAGGAGAACCCAAGCTTATTTGGGTTCCCAGGTCTAACATTTAAAAATCTTGCAGGATTGCTCTCACACAAGACCTCGTGAGAGAATATGGTACCTGGACAGTGGATGTTCAAAGCATCTGACTGGAGATACTACACAATTCATATCGCTAGAAGCCAGGAGTGGAGTCAAGGTTACACTTGGAGATAACACCACAAGAAAGGTGATTGGGACAGGTTGATTGGAAATCTTAAGAATTTTTATATTGAAAATAAGTTATTAGTAGAAGGCTTAAAGCATAATTTATTAAGTATAAGCCAACTATATGATAAAGGATATTGTGTAAAATTTTTTCCTACTACCTACATTTTAAGCCTAAATGGAAATGATGTTTTGAATGGTATAAGGGTAAACAATGTTTATATGCTAGACTTGAATTGCATTCAATCTCCTACTGCATTTTGTTTAAAAAATATTTCTGATGAGTCATGGCTTTGGCATAGGAGACTTTGTCATTCTAGCATGAAAAATCTTAGAAGGATTACACAAAAGAACTTAGTGAGAGGTATAAAAAAACTAGACTTTACTAAAGATCACCTTTGCGATGCATGTCAATTAAGAAAACAAGTGAAGTCCTTTTTTCAGTCCAATAAGGATCTTAGAACTAGTAAACCATTAAAAATTTTGCATATGAATCTTTTTGGACCAGTTAGAATTATAAGTCTAGGAGGAAAGGTATACGGATTTGTGATACTGGATGATTACTCAAGATTCACATGGGTTAGATTTCTATTTCATAAGAGTGAATCATTTGATGAATTTAGAAATTTTTCGACTTGGATTCAAAGAAAGCTAGGGTGTGAAATAATGACTATACAAAGTGATTATTGAGGAGAATTTGAAAATGAAAGATTTAAGAATTTTTATAAGGATAAAAGAATTGATCACAGCTTTTCTACACCTAGAACCCCTCAGCAGAATGGGGTAGTCGAAAGAAAAATAGAATATTAATAGAAGCCGCCCGAGCAATGTTGGCAGAATATTCACTTCCTAAATATTTTTGGGCTGAGTCGGTTAGCACTGCATGTTATGTTCTGAATAGAGTGAATATGAGATCTAAATTAAATAAAACATTCTATGAGTTTCTAAAAGGTAGAACACCTAATTTGTCTCATTTGTATATTTTTGGTTGCAAGATGTTTATTCATAATAATGAAAAATCTACCATAGGAAAATTTGATCCAAAATCAGATGAAGGAATTTTTGTTGGATACTCAAGTATTGGAAAATCTTATAGAGTATTCAATAGAAAAACTTTGGTAATTGAGGAGACCACACATGTTGTATTTGATGAATATGGAAATTTAGAAGAGCCAAATGTTGTAGAAGATGAGATTGAGGATAACTGACAAAAGATTGATAAAATATATTTGGAAGAAAATTTGGAAGAAAATGTGGAAGAAAATATGGAGATAGAAAATCCTTTGCCTAGAGATTTGAGATTTTCTAAAAACCACCCAAAGGAGTTGATAATTGGTGAACCTAGTGAGGGTGTAAGGACTAGGCGTGGATTAAACAAACAAGTCAATCATTCAGCCTTCATTTCAACAATAAAACCCACTTATATTGATCAAGCACTTTCGGATGAATTTTGGATTTTGGCAATGCAAGAAAAGTTAAATCAATTTGTAAGAAATAAAGTTTGAAAATTTACTGCAAGGTCAAAGGATCAAAGTGTAACTGGAACTAAGTAGGTATTCAAAAATAAAATAAATGACTCAGGAGTAGTCATTAGAAATAAGGCTAGATTAGTTGCTAAGGGGTATAATCGGATTGAAAGAATTGATTTTGAGGAGACTTTTGCCCCTGTAGCTAGACTTGAAGCAGTTTGGGTTTTGCTAGCATTTGCTTATTTTATAGGATTTAAATTGTATCAAATGGATGTAAAAAGTACCTTTTTAAATGGGGTAATTCAAGAGGATGTCTTTGTAGAACAACAACTAGTTTTGAAAATTCTAAATACCTAAATCATGTTTTCAAATTAAAAAAGGCATTATATGGTTTGAAACAGGCACCTAAGGCTTGGTATGAGAGGATGAGCACCTTTCTACTTGAAAGATTATTTGAAAAAGGAAGT